TTATCATATTTGATACGTTCTCCTATCTAATACTACTAGATAACACCAGACAATTTAAAATGAAATAGATTTTTGTGACAAAAATATAACACTTATGGCTTGGATCAGAAAAGAAAAATGAATTTGGTCCACACTTATTTGTGGAATTATAAATGTTACAGGATGTCTGAGGAAAGGAAACAGAAGATTACCATATTTATTCAGTTTGGGGAAATATAATTTTCTCTGTTTTATGAAATGTTCTTTGATTAGCCTGATAATCAGTTTAAATTTCTTAAAATTAGGTGATTCTACATATACCTGGCTGTATGAATAAAATGAATCTTACTTGCATTTCTTAAATAACAATTAGGTTTAGTTATACAAACATCAAATCTCTTCCTAAGGACAAATCATATATATATCTATGGCAAGAACTTGCTATTAGCTGTTTTAATTCATTGCTGAATGGGAATTTCATAGTCTAACTGATCTTGATGCAAAGAGATCCAGGATTGTAAAGAACTTCTTGTACATCCTGTTTAAAATAAAGTGACCAAAATGGAGCAAACCTCAAAAGTGTTGGCTGTAATACTATAAACATAGTCACAGAGAAGTTTGAGAAATATGCATTTTAATTGTGCAAAGAGTGCATGTGCTATATTCTCCATGATTACATCTTTAGAGATAATCTCTCTCAAACATTCTTGAATAAACAGGAATTTTTTGGTAAAAGCTGGCTTGACCTTTGAAATCTTTTGCATACCATCATAACCTCAGGAAAGAATGACCAGAGCACATCAATACTAAGATATAGAAGAATGAGGAATTGTGTTAATCTTGCCAAGGTGTTTTAAAGACCACACTCCTCTTAAGGAGTTTTCAGAAAGATTAATTGTGCTAGAAATACAAATCTGTACTGGTCAACGTGATGAACACTCAAAGCTATAAAGCCATCTAATATCCTTAAATTTTCAGGTTATTAGGTTAGTGTCTGATTCATTAGTTTACCAAGTTTTGGCTAATTTACAGAAATTATCACAATCAGATAATGACATTTCCCATTGTACATTAATAATTACAAAATAAAAAGGAATTAACAAAATAATTGAAAAGTACTAGATAAAATGTTATACATTTATGTCATTTTTATTTCAACTAAACCTTGACCTTTATAATCATAAACCTTTGTGGCTAGTGAATTCAGGGTTCATGCTTCTGAAGTCAGAAACTGAATTAGGTCCTGTGTACTCCATTAACTTACTTGATCCCATGACAGCTACTTTGCATCAGAAAGCCACCAAATACATGCCATTCATTCCAACAGGTTAATAAATGTGACTGGATCTGTAAGACTGGTTTTCAGATGGGAAAGAATCAAAGTTCTCACAGATATAATGAATATGGTAGGAAACTTGCTTAAGTTATTCTTTAAGCTTAGTAAATATTTTCATACATTGACACCAAAGAGAGAGGGCCAGAAACTAACAAATGTTCATTAACCTCTCTCCAGACATCCCCAACCTGTGAAATACAAAATAAAAAAATTATTTCTAACAGTTTACTAATTATTCTTCACAAATATACTAGACTGAAAATATAATGTGCATTAGTATGCCTCTATTATATAAACCACCATGATCAGAATGCAGATTTATAACAAACAATGGAACACAATTCATTCAGGAGCACAATTAGTTATTTAAAACTACATTTTTCCCACTTGTTTATTTTGTAGTTTTAATATTGAGAAATACTATTGAGCTCTTCGGTATAGCTGTGTCTTTTGTCTGTGTATCTTTAAGCACTAAGCCTAGTGCCTGGCACACATACACAGGTATTCACTAAGTGATCCCTGAATAAATGAAGGAAAGGTTAGTAACTAGGTTTTCTTACGGTGGACTTACTAACATATGACTTGAAACTATATTGAACAATATGAAAACAAAACACTTCTAGTGCTATGCAAAAGGATTAATAACTAAATAAAAAGCAAGAATCTAAAACAACAACTATTTCATAATTTCCTTTTCTTGAAAGAAAATAGCAAATGAACAGGGAGTTTCATTTATTTTTTTGTTTTGGTTTTTACTATGAGTACAGATAACATCATTACTGGGTGAAAATTCATGTTTGAGCCATTGAACATTTTTTAAAAACTTCATTTAATGAAATATGTTCTACAAAATCTCATGACCCCCCCCCTTACCATGAATTCTGAGTGTATTGAGTGTATATGTTTGAATTTTTTCATATGTCTGTTCACACCCCATTTTTTACAGTTTCTGATATTCCTTGACAATTTCTGATTTCCATTTACATTTGCCCATTGCCAACCCAGGAGAGACAAGATCCATGAATCTTAGCAGGAGATGAAAATTTATCAAGCCTCAGACACAGTGGCAAATGCCTATAATTCCAGTGACTCAGGAGGCTAAGGCAGGAGGATCTCAAGTTTGAGGCCAGCCTCAGCAACTTAGTGAGACCCTGTCTCTCCCTGTGCAAAAATTAAAAGGACTGGGAATATGGCTCAGTTGTACCGTGGGTTCAATCCCTAGTATCAAAAAAAAAAAAGGAAAGAAAAGAACAAATGTATCAGCAAAGGCTTTTTCAAATCACATTTAATGATCTTATCAGGAGGTGACTTATAATAAGCGGAATCCTGACAATCCTTTGGTGTCTTTTAGAGCTGTATCCTAACTAGACTTCAAAAAACCAAATGGGCAAATGATACTGGCACACAACCAAGTAACATTTTTCTCTTTTCTCCTTTATCCACTGTAACTGTCAGCAATTATGACTTTTGAAACTATCTACTTTCATAACAACCTCACAAAGCCACTGAGGCCTAACAGTGTTTTGGGCAGTGTGATATATCAAATATTCACCATTTGTGAAGTGAAAAGGTGAGAAAATTTTAATTTGGACTGAAGAGTTAATGATGGATATTTAGCTAAAAAGAAATGATAAATGATTTTTAGGTAACAATTATACTTGGTTTTTCATACCCTAATAAATTGTATGAACCCTAATTCAACACGGAATTCATTACTCAGTGAATGTCAGATGATGATTATTGGTCAAGGTTTCTTATATTTTGTAAGTTACTGTCCCTATACACAACCATGCAAATGACCCACGAAGGAATGCAGAACTCCAAAATCATGGTTCATGCTTTTAGATATGAAATTTAACTCAAGAGTTTGGACAGTCCAATTCCCCCATTTCAGAAATGACAAAACCCAAATCCAGGAAGCTTAGAACCTGTTCAGGGACACCAAGTCTAGTGGATTAGTTAGCAGCACTGGACTTCTAAGCCAGAGTTCTCTTCATACAGATAAGGTGTTGCTGCTACTTTATGAACTTACATCTCTTAAAGCCTTTAATGTTTGCATATATTCAAAGATAGTACAATCAAACCAGTTAGAGAGCCTGCCAAAAGCCTCTTTTTCCCCCCATGAAATGATGACCTTAACCTTAACTGTGAACAGGTATGAGAGCCAAATTGAGTGGTGATTTTGATGCCTATAACACTGCTCTCACCTTCCTGCTGGTTACAGCACAGTTTGGTATAAAACTTAAAAATCTAGGAGTTTCATCCTAGGACAATGACATAAATCCAAGCTGATTGAAGATTCTACCATCTTTCAAAGGTTACTTTTGCTAAGAGAGTTGATAAATAAAACACCATCATATTACAGTGTATTTCTAATATCCATATTTAGTAAGTGGCATTTTTGTAATGTGCCTATAACAATTATTGTGAGGGATTTGTTTTTATTGATTTGCCATTCCACCAAAGTGAAAGGTATGAAAGATTATGGAATGTCACACACAAATATGTATCATTTACAAATGCGAAGAGCAAATTTTTATGGGGTAATTTTAATGGGGTGTCCTTTTACAATAAAAAGGAACTTAAATTATTTTATTCAATTTTGGCATCCATAATCTTTCACTTTGGAGGTAAGTTAGCAAGATAAAGTAACAAAGCACACAGTGGAAATTACAAAATTTACAATGGCAAGATTCTCTGAGATCTTCTACAATGATATCGGTCTCCACCATCTAAGAACATTTCCAAAACTGCTTTAAAACACATTTCAAAGGTACATTTTATAAGTCTGATATTAGTAGACTGTTTACAAGTATATCGTACTTCATGTGAACTAAAGTCCATTTATATTGAAATAGTCAAGAAATACATTTTTGTTAGGAGTAGTATGTGTTGGTAAGTAATATAGCACTGATTCAAACCCAAAGCACCTTTAAGATGGGCCTGTAAACCTTGCTTTACTAGTATACAACCTCAAATAGCCACAGAAAACTCTCCAGTGGTCTCTGAAATCTCTACTTCTGCCAAACTCTCTGCCTCTCTTTCTCCAGTAGTCTTCTGCACCATATGCTGGATCCTAAAATACAACCGATCCTACTTGAAAGCCCAAGAATACAAGCTAACCTCCTGGAAATCCTAACCCCGTCTCTCTGTAAATAGCCTACTGCTAGTTTCTACACTTCAGGACATTGAATTTCATGGGGGAGGGGGGGTCTCCCTCATTTCTTTTCTTTCCTCTTTGATTTCTGTGCCCTTCCTCCATCAGCCTCCCCTTTCGTTTCCCTGACCCTCAAGGACCACAGCACTTCTACCTTGCCTCTTCTTTTCCCAAATCACACCTCCGTTCTACATCACACTAAAGCGTCTGGCTGGGAGAGAAATAATGTGTTATATACATATTTTTTCCCTTCTAACTCCTGCCTTGTGAGTACCTGCAGTTCCTTTGCCTGAGGACCCCAGTCCTTTGCGGGGAAGGGGAAGAGGTAGGGAAGCCCCTCGGCTTCAGTCCATCTTGCACACTCAGGGCTAATACAGCGGAGCGGGGCGGGGCGAGTTTGGCCTTTACTGCGCCACAGCAGGTGGGGGGTGGGGCGGAGGCGAACCGCGCCCAGTCCGATTTCGGACAAGCTGAAGAGAGGTAGAGAAGGAGATGGGGCCGCCCCCGCACCCCGGGACGGGAACTCACCTTCTCTGAGGCAAGGGCGGGTGTCTACTTTAAAACTACTGCCCCCCCTCCCCGCCGCCGCCATAGTGGAGCCGCCGGAGCCGCCAAAGCCGCCGCCGTCGCCACAGCCATCGGCTAGCGGGCAGACAGGGGTGGAGGTGGCGGAGGAGGCAGGCACAATCACTGCCACGGCCGCCGCCGCCGCCGCCGCGCAGGCGACGTAGGAGGAGGAGGCGGCAGAGACGGTAGCTTCCTGAGGGGAAGACTCCGCGGCCAGCAGGATGACTGTGCTCGGCGCCGCCGCCATGGCACAGCGAGGCGCGTACAATTGCACTTGCGCCCCGCTCCTGTTAGGCTTCTTTAGCTCCGCCTTCCTCTTAGCTCCTCCCCCTCGCCCCTCTTTTTCTCGCTGAACTGGAGCCTCGTTCTGGCTCCTTCTGTCCGCCAATGGGAATGCTGTACACCCACAGGACGCCGCCCCTCCTACCTCCTCCTGCTTGGCATCACCAGCCTCCCTTTGGAGGGAAAGTGATGATAGCCAAGGGTAAAGGTCAAAAAGCTCGGGATGTAAAAGCACGTGGACCTCACACAGTGAGGCCTTTTGGAGCATCTATCTAAAACCAATTTAATAATAATAAAAAGTAAGTCTGGAAATGTATTGATCCCACCTCCAAATTATCTCTAAAGTACATTTTATTCTGTTTTACATCCCTTAGTAAAAAGATTAGAAATAAGAATCTTTGGTCACTACATTTTCCCCATGGCCTCTTAAAGGACTGTTTATCTGTACATCTACCCATCTAAATTACAGTGAAGTTCCGTCCATCTGGTACCCAAAGAACTGGGATATTACTGATTTTTTTTTCTTTCAAATTCCCTTACTCCCCAATCCTGATTCATGCTTATTATTTCCTTGCTCTTTTAACATTTTTTCACATAGGTGTTTGTCTAACTAATATTTCTTAGTTTTGATTGGTTTCAAATTTCACAAATATTTATATCTTTTTCTAGGTAGCATTCTGGAACTGTTCCTTTTTTGTGGGGGTGGGGGAGCCAGGGATTGAACTCAGGGGCATTCGGCCTCTAAGCTACGTCCCCAATCCTATTTTGTATTTTATTTAGAGACCGGGTCTAATTGAATTGCTTAGCACCTCGCTGTTGCTGAGGCTGGCTTTGAACTCGTGATCCTCCTGTCTCAGCCTCTGTAGCCACTACAATTACAGGTGTGTGCCACCCTGCTCCCCTGCCTGGCTTGAAACTGTTTCTTTAACTCAGCATTTTGATTCAAAGAAGCACGCATGTTGTCACTTGGAGTTGTAGTTATTCACTCTCAGTGTTTTACATCCCATCCATTGCCTTGTTGATAAACATACCTCCTGGTACATGTATGAAAAAGTATGCTCTCCTTTCCAGGCTCACTTTCATTACTGTATTTAAGTACTTACGATGTCTTGTCAGAACTATGGTATCCTATCCCACTAATCTCCTTACCTGTGGTCTCAGTGCCTCCAACCTGTTTCAATATTGCTATCATTCATCACCAGCTCTCCATCGCCTATGGGATAAAATTAAAGGGCACATATTTGCATTTACTAATCCCCCCTCGCCTTCTGATCTCACTTCTTTTCACTCCCCCAACCCCTCCCCTCTTTTAGTTTATGATTCAGCAATACTAAATCTTACAGATTCCTGTGGAGTCCATGTTATTTCATGAGGCAGTGTTATTATATATGTTCTTCCTTCTTCCTAATATACCCTTCTGCCCACATGAACTCAGAAAACAAGATAATAAATCACCTCCTCCTGGTAACCTCTTTTGTCTTTTCTTAAGAGTTAATCCCCATCTTGTGTACTTACACCTATACCTATTGCATATTTTTATTGTAATTAATCATATTTTCTGCCTCCCCTCTTGATAGCCTGGAGCCATTTTGAGACTAAAGATATTCTGTTTTATTTTTTACTCCAAATGCTCCAGCCCAGTAAAGTCCTAAGACAAAAGCATTGACAGCCCCCCTCCAGGTCCCTAAGCCCCACAGATACTTGTGTTTTTCCTTGCACAATTGTTTATTCTTTCTCAAAGCTTAAAAGGGAGGTTTCAAGCAAAAATTACTTTAAAACATTTGAATATTTGTCAGTTGTGGCTCTGCATTCCTGAATGGCAACAATTAGCTGAAGCCGAAAAACAAATTCAAAGGCTCAGTGTGCTGGGCTTATAAAAATGTATCTTTATGGGATTTTGTTGTTGTTGTTCAGATTTACCCAAGAATACTGGAGTAAGTAAGTGGTTTCTCACTGGCATTCTGTAAATTAGGGTATCTTCTGGTCATTGAAGAAATTATTAGATAGGCCAGGCAAAAGAAATATTCTGCTGAAATAGCCAGTAGGACAAGGTAAACATAAAAATGGGGTGTGATTTTATCCCTTCCAATATGAGGGAGGAAATCCCTCAAACACATTGCCCCTCTAAATATGAATCACAGTTCACTTGTGTAAGAAATATTCACTCAGAATGGGGGAGTGTGAATCAGTCAACATTCAGTCAGCAAAAAAAGAAATTGCATTAGGTATTTCAAACAGAAAAGAAAATTAATGTAGGAATCCAGTACTTAAAGGAATAAGAAAGGTTAGAGGAGTAAAACATTTGTGTAAATATCTATGATATTTTTCTATAGAATGGAGACTTTAAAAGCCAGTTTACCTGGAATTCAGCAGGTAAAGAATATGAATTTGGGGTGGGGGGAGTCTTAGCATCCTTCTGTGACTTTCTTTTGAGGATCTGTGAGATTAACAGAAATATTCAGCAGTTCTCTGACCTGTGTAGCAATAATGATTATAGTAGTCAACAAATATCTATTACATTATAGAATAACTTCTTTCTCCTGAGACCCCATGGAAAATTCTGTGTCTGCCATTCAATCAAATAGTAAAAATACGAGAAAGGGTAATCCATTAAATGAAAGAAAATGATTTTTCTCCCCATTCTTCAACTCCATTTGGTCACATGCTATTTCTATCTGCTAGGCCAGTACTTTCAAGCACAATCATTTAAGCTTGCAGAAAAAAAAAGGCGGTGGCACCTTTAAATAACTGTAAATTGGCCTCTAAAGTTGCTTTTTGTGTCAGACAAGGTCTGCCAGAGAAACTTCCAAGGTCATCTAGAAGTGAACAATATGTCTTTAAATTTGCCCAGCTAACCTGCCCCACATTTCGGTGACCAAGAAGTGAATTTTGCTTGCTATAATATTAAATTCTGTGCTCATTGGTGGTCCTATCTGTCATTTTCTGAACATGCAATGTAGGAAGAGGCATGATGTCAAACAGCAAGCTCAAGAATGTGCCTTCTGGCTGCTGTTGTGGCTCATTGGTAGAACACTTGCCTAGCATGTGTGAGGCACTGGGTTCAATTCTCAGCACCACATATAAATAGATAAATAATAAAGGTCCATTGGCAACTGAAAAAAATTTACAAAAAGAATGTGCCTGATGAGTCTATTGTACATGAATATATGAGTTTCTTAAAAACAAACAAACAAAAACCCTTGCTTTGTTTGCCTGGGGAAACACTGCTTTTTTAAAAGTGGTCTCCTTTCTTCCTTCAAGTAATAAACCTACCTTCACACTTTAATTTCCTTGGTTATAGTCAATTAGCTTTGTATTCCCCAAGGGGTGAACCCACTGCCTTCTTACACTATAACATGAAAATGTCACCAGATTTCAGTCATATACTATGATAATCCTACACACTTTTCTTTCTCTTATACTTATCATTTTTCTCAGTAACTATAATGTTATTAAATGAATGCTAAAGTAATTTCTTTCACAAGAAAGGCATAGAATGTTGTAAAGAATAATAATTGTAAATGCCTATTATGGGCCAGACATTTCCCATAATTTCCCGTTCATCTCACAATGTTGATGTTCTATTGAGCTCATTTGCTGAGAGCCATAGCCAAGTAGGAATGATGCATGGCATTTTGGGTTGAAAGGTGACCCTGCTCAGGGATTAGGGTGGCTCCAGGTTTAGGGTGGATCCTGCTGGGATTAGGGCGTATCCTGCTGCCTCAGGAGCCTGCTCCTTTGGGGTTCTGAGAGAATTGGTGTGCGGAGCCGAGTGGAGGCAGGGTGTTCACGGGAAGTGTGGGCAGAGTGTCGGTGAGAGTTCGGGAATAAAGAGTTGCTGTTTGAATCTACAAGGCTTTGTGGTGGCTCGGTTATTTTGTGCCCAGCCAGACTGCGGCACTCATTAATCCATTTAAAGAACGAAAAACTCAGTCTCATGAGTGCAACTGTTCTATGGTTTTTAACTTAGTGATTGAAAAAGGTCTGTCTATACCATTGAGCCAAAGTGAATAGACTGTATTGATTTAAATGAATTTTAACTACCAACCCCTCAAATCATAGAAAGAATATAGGAGTGAGGGTGGGAAAGGGAATTTAGATCTAAGGTGGAAGGGAAGGTCAAAGGTGCTAAAACAGGAGCATATTTTTGCATAAAGGAGAAATCAGTGAAAAAACAAAAACTATATTTACAGTGCAGTGTAACATGCCTCATTTGAAATGATATGGGGACATTTAAAAGCCCACTATTACCTAACATAATGCATTTAAAAATATCAGAAAATGAAAGAAATAATTAAAACATAATTTTGTGGCATATAACTAGTAATTGACATAAAAAAATGAACCTAAGCAAAACAGAGAGTTCTGCTGTTATGACTTACCTCCTAAAAGTGCCACCTCTTAATACTATCACATTGGCAACTAAGTTTCAATACATGAATTTGGGGAGACATTCAGATCATAGCAGTGTGTATAAGGTGACTCAGTTTTGAACTAAAACTTTTATACATATGAACAGATAGAATATTTCAATGATATATATTATATATTTATATATAAATTATATATATTTATATATAGTTCAAATATTCTGTGTATATGAAAAATATATATGAAAATACTAAGAGTAGACAGCTTATGGTGGATCACAGTTAAGATCAAAATACAAGATAATTAATCCATATTCACATTTTTAAAAGATAATACTAGATAAAATTATTATACTATAGTATGTGTCTGGTTAGAGACTGATGTCATAGAAATGAATCTTTACTGATTAAAGTTTGTCAAATATATATTTTTAATTAAAATGAGTTTATCCAGAGTTTTTATAAGAATTTGCCCAGGGGCTGGGGATGTGGCTCAAGCGGTAGCACGCTTGCCTGGCGTGCGTGCGGCCCGGGTTTGATCCTCAGCACCACATACAAACAAAGATGTTGTGTCTGCCGAAAACTAAAAAATAAATATTAAAATTCTCTCTCTCTCTGTCTCTCTCTCTC